AAGAATATTTTCTGCACTTGATTGGATCACGTTTCACAGAGTTACGAGTGATTGAGCTAGCAACTGATTTGATAACACCTAACGTGCTTCATGAATTAGCTGCTCGGTGTCCTCAACTTTGGTCTATGACATTAGGTAAGACCTCTTCTAACCGTCTATGATTTAGTATCTAATCTTTTCATGTTCTAAAAACTTCTGAAAGTCTAGTCAAATGCAGTTATTGTCGAGTAAATTTGCAAAATCTATCTGATCATTTAATACAAAACTTTTTAATGGCAAAAAAAAAAGTTGCCATCTACTAATGCCTTATGTGATCTACTAATTAATAAAATAGATCGTTGGAATCATTTGATGATTTGCTGACATGTGGTACAAAGCTGCGTCTTGCTTAAAACTTCTAAGGCAAGTGACCCATTATAACTGGGCACCATTTAACTGTAGCTATTTGTTTGGAAGTTATCAGTATATCTGTTCGAGATCAAATTCACAAGTATTGCTCTTATTATGTCGGTTTCATCCATTGTTTATTAACTTTACTTATTTGCCAGATTTCTCAACAGCGATGCAACTACACGATTTCTCAGATCTGCAAAGTTTTCCTAGCAGATTACGTTCACTAACAATATGTTTGAGTGGGAATATTTTCCTGGAAGGATTTTTGAGGAAAGTTTACACATTCATTTCTTCGATGGAAGTGCTTCAGATTATTGGTAATTAGTATACCTCATTTAACAACAACATCACAGATCATCCATTGAACTGAAAAAACTTTAGACAAGATTAGATCCGGAATACAAAGCGATGATTTTAGCAAATTTTCATATCTAAATCCTTCTTCGTCAGTTCATGATTTCTATAACATTTACAGGAACATATGAAAAGATAGAAGACGAAGAAGAAGAAGTTTATGAAACAGTGAACGTACATAAACTAAAACAGTACATACCAAATCTTCGTGTTGTTAACTTCTGGGGCGTTAGTTTATTCATATGTTTATATTTTGCATTGCTAATTTTGAGAAATTTAATCCTTTGTATTGTAACAGTATTATTTCTTTAATCCTTAGATATTTCCACAACTGTTAAGTAAATGATGATGACACGAAGAATTTTATTTAAACGAAATTTCAATTCTCTTTCTGATGTCGCCTTCAGGAAAAACTCTTCGTGACTACTGTAGCATTTGTGAGGTTCAAGCTTTCATTCTTTAAGTCCCGCTTTTTGTGCCGTCATTCAGACATTTTATACAAAGTGAATGGAAACTTTAGGTACCTTTTATAACAGACGAGCATGTCGAGTCGATATCATCCAATTGCGCCCATCTAGAATGCCTCTGTATTAATTATTGCACAAAAGTTACCGGATCATGTCTTCGACTTGTGCTGCAACGCTGCAAAAAGCTTAGGAGCCTTCTTCTCGCTCACGCATGTGTGTTTTTCAAAAGTGATTATACCTGTTTTGTTGGTTCCAACCACTTTAGCTAATTAATGTGAGAAGCTTCCAGAAATATATCCTAATTTACCGTACTACTGCTTCACCTTAATTCTTCTAATAGAATATTTTTTTTTAGTACTATATGAACATATTCCTACACAACTACTATGTATGCAATTCACTAAATAAAGTGAACTTCAGCACTTGACAATGAAATCATAAAATCTATCGAGTGGGAAAAAACACACATCGAAGAGTTAAATATCTGTGCTACTGAACTGTCACCCGACGCATTAATTAGCATCTTAACTCGACTAAAACATCTCATTTGGCTTGATGCATCTTGGCTGGAAAACATGAATGACCAGGTGAGATTATAAAGTAACAAACACAGAGTAGACCATATCAGGATCACACATCTTCGAAACATTTATCAGCTAATTTTCAGGTCTTAGAAGCCTGGCTGGCTTCAGATTCCATTGTAAACCTGCAGTATCTTAACTTAGACACCTGTGATTCACTGAATGAAGCGTCATTAACTGATCTCATATCCAGGATGGGAAACCAATTGCTGGGCTTAAACTTGGGGGGACATCATAAATTACTGGAGTATTTCTGGACAAATATGATACCAAAGCTTAAAAATATTAAGTAAGTTCTTTTTAGTTCAGCTGTGATCACCTGTGCTAATTTGTTACTCGCTTTTTTATTACAGGTTCATTTAGACTGCACTGAGAAGCCAATCTTACTGAAACTCATAATTTATGAAATCTTATGCTACCAGTTTTTGTATATGTATCCTTCCCTAAAAAACGAATATGCCTTTCGGAATTCTCAGAATAGAAATATTTTTCACTGGGATTTTTAATGTGTTTTGAAATTCAAATACATCGAAAAATTTTGCAGAGTACTTGTCATGGGAACGGCGGAAGACTGTTGCTCAAAAGTACTTGCAAAAATTCATATTGATCAATTTATTGATGGTATCGCGCAGAATTGTCCAAAGTTATGTCGTCTTGAAATTCGCTGGGATGATGGAACTCTAAGATTCAGTGACAAATCGAGGTAAGACAATTAATCTACATTATATAGTACTTCTATATCTTAGTTCATTCACAGAATTGAATTTCTGAATATGAATATACAATGAAGCATTTTAATTTCTATCTCAGAGAGGACAAGATGTACTATTATTTTGCTTCAGCAAATTCATCGATACTCTTCGATTGAAGTGCCTGAAATTGCGTTCGGTAGTATTATCTGATGGTCAATATTACGAATTAGTACGCTCTAATTTTGAAAGAGCTGACCGTCTATGCGTCGTCAGGTGAATAATCGATTTGTAGTACTAGTAGCTACAAGGTAAATCAACAGAAATCCTAAGAGTACAGTTATCATCCAAAGAAACGAACACCATCAAAAACTACTATCTCATTTCAGCGCAAATTACCACTTTAACTAAAATTGGTTAGTGAGAAACATATAACGCTCTATTGGAATCTGTGAGTCATCATATGCATTGTTCACGATTCTGACAAGGTTATCACCATTGATGAAATAGTGCATTAGAAAAAAATGCAAACTAATCTTCATGTCGATAATTTACAGGACGCTCGAAATGTGCCGTACAGGACTAATGCATTGTTCAAAATATTACAATCAATTACTATTCAACTGATTGGAAATGAAGAATACTTATGCCACTCATGATTCTGACAAGATTCACCTATATAATTCACACTAGTATAGTATCTTTTAAGAGATTGAATGATTTTCCTCTAAATCAATAGGTTAATTATCACGCAATCTCACTATTTGCATGCCTTTTAATCTGTGAATATGCAAACGTTTACCCAACATATGTTTTTGCTCATGTATGCATGATACGCAACGAAAATTACGAACAACTGTATGAGCAGATTCATACAAAATATAATCTTTACCACCTTTAGTTGACGGTAGCATCATGACTTAACGACTTCACGCATGCTTAATTCTTAATAAAAAGAATACGGAATGGAGAGAACGGAACCTATATTTCCGTTAATCGCATTTTATTCTTTTGTTCAGGTCAAATAGAATTAATTTATCGCCTTTAATGATCATATCAGAAATACAATGATTTTTAAATCTGCATCGATATAAAGAGACTTGTAAAATCCAAAATGCAAGTATATAATATTACTGGTAGAGCATAAATTGTGTAGAAAAATGCAAAAGTAATTCGAAATGTACGAAACAAGAAGCAAAACTAGATAATAAAAGTATCCAACAAACATTACATTTAACAATCACAGTAAATATTACCAGTGTGCAACTCAAAACACAAGCAACAAAATATCTTTAAAAATAAGAGTGGATTACAGTGAGCAAGCCTCGTGGATCTTTATTAAAGGGAACAATTTTAAGCGCGAACAAGTAGATGTAAGAAAGAGTATGCTACGTTTTGGTACACTTACGACTTTTTTAAACTGGTAGAACAAAAATCCCTGAAACTAGAACAATTATTCAAGAAAAAAGACAGCAGAGGGAAAAGGTTAAGAGGAAAAACAACATCAGATAACAGGTGATACCGTGCCATAATCTGCTAAAAATTTATCAACAAATGTGAAAGATGACCCTCAATTCATAAATTGCACTGCTGACATTAACATTGTAATTCGTTAAAGGACAAAGAAGTTGAGCGAAAAAAGAACAACCTATTTCCTATTTCAAATACTTTGCGAAGCATTTTCCCTTATAAGTTCACAAATTTCGAAATCTTCATAAATTTTTTGTTCAAATAAAATTTGAATATTAAACATCAATCAATATTCGTAGATTTACGCAAAGAAAAAAGACCGAGGTATAATATTTGACCACTACTTGAAAATATTTCATAGAATTAATGACTCAAGCAATAAACAAAAGGGCAATGAACACTGTTCATATGAACGATAATATAAAACCATGTATGTATGTACATTGTGATCCATGAAAGAGCAAAATTCGACTCGAACGGTACAACTAAAATGAATAGAATATCACGAAATACGAGGGCAATTAATGAAATTAATGGATAAGCAATTGTATGTAAATCTCATATAATAAAATGTTTACGCTTGATAAGACAGTTTGAGCAAAAATATTTAAAGATAGATGTTACATACTTTTCATTGACTGTTAAATCCTGTAATAATAAAGTGGCCACACCTCAAGCTTAACTGTGTGTCGCGACAACTGCTCATTTGATTTTTATGGAAATAAAATTTGAAAAGAGATCTCATATTAAAAAGCAAAAAATGCTAGCTATTCTTGCAATCATGCAAAGCAGTGGGTGTAGCCAAATAAATGGAAGTTATGTACAAAAGAAAAATTCCAACACCCATGAATTTTTTTGTAGTACTACTGTATTACTGGTGATAATGATAATAAGGCAACCAAGTAAAAGATCCGGTCACTAAAAAAAAAGTACTGTGCAGAGCTATACAAATAGAAAAACACAAAAATGACAGCTCTTCCAACACCTGAAAAATTAAAAAAAAAAATGAAATAAGATGCCATATAGTCTCAACTTGCACTTACTTTTTAATTTTTGCTTGCTTTCTTAATTTTCTTCTTATCAGTTTTCAATATTGGAATCTTTTTGTTACGCTTATCGTTCGCATCCTTTTTATCTCCCATCTCTTTGATAGAGTTTGAATTTACATCTTCTTTTTCTATTTTCGACAATTTGATAACTTTCTTATTCCCATCATTCGCATTCAATTTTTCAGCAATATCAACATCACAAGAAGTGCAAGCATTCCCCGTTTCGACGAAATTCAAACTGTTCGAGAAACCATTTTCAAGAGCTTTTACGGAGCCGTCATCGGGTGTTTCATGCCCACTGGCGCTAGCAGAATCAGCCTGCTCATCGATTATCTCCGAATCGTTACCATCATATGTATCATTGCGTTGATAGATGGAATGTTCAATTGGGTTGCGCTGCAAAACAAATTTCGGTTGCGTTATTAAACAAAAAAAAATTGACAAGCAATACTAGTCTCATACCATATCACTTGTAAACATTATTACAAAAAAAAAACAAGTCCCTAGTTTTCCTTGGAAAACTTCCAGTGAATCAAATCCAAAATATTCAACAGCGGAACAAAAAAAATATAAGCAATAATACATAAACTGAAATTGAACTTACAGTAATCTCACACTTCTGACCATTGATTATGTGAATTTTCCCATGTTCCAAACACTTATCCGCTGAAGACTTGTTTTCGAAAACAACAAAACCAAGTCCTCTAGGATTGCCCAAAATTTCAACTTGCTCAACGGTCCCGAAATTGTCGAAATATTGTCGTAAATCGTCAACTGTGTGCCATGCCCAATGTATTCCTGAAACAAATATTTGTATGACAAGATCCAGTCAAAGAATACCATGTTAAATTACATCTTTTCAAAGAAAAGAACTTCACCTGACAAAGACAACTTGCATCCTGGATCAGGTTCAATTTCCAGAAATGATGGAGGATGGTTAGGAAGGAGGGGTGACATCTGTTCACGAGGTATAGCGCGCTTTGGATCAACCACCTGAAGTGTAGTAAATATTTCAAACGAAAACACAATGATATACGTAGAGAACAATTTCTAAACATCACCTGATATCAAATGGATAAATACCTTATTGTTTATAGTGTGAGGTCTGTCAGCCATAGCAGCCTCAGCCATCTGTATGGTTGCGAATGTAACAAATCCAAATCCACGTGAGTACTTCGTCTGTGGATCCCTGATAACTATACAGTCCACCACAGTACCCCACTGCGAATAATACTGTCGAAGCTTTAACATACGAGCTCTTAGATAAACAAATACAAAACGTAAAGATTTCATTCATCACTAAATGAGCCGACAGTTCCAAAAAAGCTTACAGCAGTAGTCAGTTACTCATCATTTGTTTTACAAAGTGCATTAAAATTTTCGAAAACCACTGCAATGAGATTCTGATTCATTCAAAAAATATCTTTCTTAATCATAAATTAAAAATAATAATCATGCTGCGACTCTTCTGTATATGAATAATACCTGCTCATCTGTAGTTTCGTGACTCAGACCACCAATAAATAGCTTTCGGGGTTGAGGCGGACACTCACTGTTATAATGTACTAAAATTCCATTTCGATGCAGTGGAGGAAAAGTGTTTGGCGTGAAGGAAGGAAAAGGGAAAGGGTGAAGTGCAGGGACATAAGACATGCGTGGAGCATTAGGAACACCTTGGAGCGACATAAACATCGGATGTGGCACATGTACTCCTCCTGAAACTCAACAGATGCAATAACGTTAAAACAGATGAGTCCTAAATACAGATTTGATGATAATATAACTTCGAACAAATTCAAAAATCTTTTTGTTTTCCAAACACATTATACAATAAATACAACATAAGAAACTACTACTCCTACACATATTAATACCAACCAGAAGAATATACAGGTGAAAACATATTGGACTCCTTCCAACCACTTGGTCGACACTTTCTGCGACCAACACTGAAATTATGAATTTCTGTACAGCTATGCAAAATGAAAATGTACGTATATAAGAGACATGGTTTAATAACACTTTATGGATCTAAAAATCACGAAGAGAGGAAGTTCGCTTCGTTGTCCTACAACAACTTGACTCTAAGCATGATATGAGGCTTGAGCTCAACCATCTCAAGTTTGATCGAAAAAAAAAAAGTAGGCTTTTAAATTCTTGTAATTAAACTGAGCAAGCCATAAAACAGTTTAAAAACAAAAGTTTTTTCAATGCAGTGTGATAAAAGCCAAATGTGTCAATAAAACGCTGTAGTGAACATAGACGTTGAAGTAACGCGCAACATATGGAATGAAACTTTTACATATCAAACTCAAGCTTACTTATACTATATATATATATATATAATCATCGGATGTTATTTTGAATAACATCTTTGTATCGCAAAATCACGAACAGACGAAGGTTACTTCGTTCTCTACGACATTTCCTTAATTCAACAGAAATGCATGTGGATTAATGTATAGCGATATAATGAGGGCGAAGAAATAAGCAAGTGAAGTCCAACGCCAAATTTTAACGTACAGATAGAAAGAGATTATCCCAAATAACTAAAAGCAAACTGCATATAAACAACTATTCTCACCCAGTTGATCAATTGAGATTTCACCAGTCCGCTACCGTACTCAACAAAACGTTGTGAAATACTCGGAACAATATTTCATTGCAGCTCAAAGGTTAAAACCCAAATCGCCACAGATTTCTTTGGAGGAGTAAGGGAGTTGTTCTTTGTAACTAAATTCCAGCAGTAATGGAGTTTCTTTAGGAAGTTTTGTGGTTCACTGATGCCATACAAAAGATTTTATAACAGGTAGAAAACACCTCACGAATATGATAACTGGATTTGCAGAACACAAATAAAGGATACTTGAGCTTAAATAGCTATCATAAATGTTGGGAATTTTAGTAATCTCATTTTTAAGGTTTGTTAGGTTTGTGTTCACGTAACATCTTTTTTTCGTTTTTTTTTTCTTTTTTTTGCAAGTTATATTACATGCCAACTATAACCAATCCAAAAATTTTCTCACCAAAATATTTCAACCAATCGAAATGTGGAAATATAACATTAAGCATGCAGTATCCCCCTTCACTTCCTTGTTGCGAATGTCTTCTCAGAATATATCCGGAAGCGCAAAAGACTTATGAAAGTAAACTGATGCTGCTATGATGGGTCAGACGGATTTTCAAAAGTGATCAGAGCTACCTTCAACAATACAAGGTAAAACTTGGGTAACTGAGTTCAAGGAGTATCTACTAAAAGAAACACATGAGCCAATCAAAAAACTAATTTGTATATTTTCCAGTATCTCATACATATTCACAATAAATTCAGGACGTGATACTGGTCCAAAATGTTTTCTGTTTTTCCAACAGAGTTTTATTCTCAGAAAATTCCAGATAAACCGAAAAATTGCAAATCTTTCTAAAATTCATTCTGCACGTATCCTACACCATTCCGAATGAAAAAATTTTATGCATTTGCATCAACCTAACGGAGAAAAAAGATTTCAATTTAAATTTGAAGTTTACTGCTAATGAACAAATGCATAACAATGAACTATGTTAAAATAATAACACTGATGTATGTTGAACTTAAAAAGTTTCCAGCTCACCACACATACGAGCGTTTTAGCACCTTCTAGGAATGTATTCATCCCAACCGATTTAAAAGGCCTTTTTTTGCAACCTAACATATCTAACTAGAAGGATTTATTAGTATAGTTTAATGGCTGTACAAATCACGTCCTAGAATGCATCTTCCTTGCATCACAGGGTTTCAAAACAGAAAGGGAAAGACTTGATTCGAATTTTGTTTCATAATTATCTTTCCTTCTTCATCCTAAGCCATTCCACTCCAATTCACTCCTTATTTTTCTCTCTGCTGTGTAACTTTTTTTTAAACGACAAATTTCTTCTATTTTTTTTAATAGAACAATAGGAAGGATTTCTATGAAAGTTTTCAAGTTCCTTGAAATCAAAACGAAGTCTAAAAAGTTGTTCTATTACGAACAAATAACCGAAGCAGTTTTTACCATCATTATGATATGAACAAAATGAAGTGGTGATGCAGAATACAAATAAAACCGTAATAACCTCGCTTTTGTCCTCCTACGAAAAACATGATGGTCAACATCTGAAGAAGCGACTAAGTCCTAACCAGGTTATTTATATTTTCTACATGTGTGAATTAATCCACTCCACCGTCACTCACAGTCGTCTCCAACGCCTTCAATGAATTTGACTATACGATTGCGATCTACGAAAATTTCCTTAATCTTATCTCACTTTTGCATATTCATTCTCACACTCTGAGGAAAATCGCCTATTCTCTTGCAGAAGTGCTTTTGCTTTCTTTAAACAGCACACAAATGAACCATTTAAGAAATCCCTAATAAGAGATGAAGAAATTAACAGGATAGAATGCTCCACTGCTTTCACACTGTCAAAGTATCTCGTAAAGATCAACCATTACTTTACAAATTAACCAATGGTTTTCTTTTCATCATTAGGTCATAATGGTGTGAAAAAAAAAAAAAAATTGAAAACCGTCCCTGCCACAGAAAATAGAAAAACGCAGATGATTTATGCCGTCATCCAAAACAGCCAACTACCAACTAAATAATGAGCTAGCAATACTTTTCTTATATCCTAGCAACATATGGTTTACAAATAAATCACCAGCTCTGTTGTGTGGCTACTTGCACTGTCTGATCATTTGTACCAAATAACCCCCCAGGCAGCAGTACATTTGCATGTCAGACAAAACTTTTCGCAAATCTCCTGATAAAGATTCACACCGTCAGCTGTTAAAATCGCTCTATTCAATCTACTCATCGGTTAAAAGTCATCAGTGGTTCGGACGTACGGTTTTCACCAACCAACACCTGGCACCACATTTCCAGCTTGCTTGGAAGCTTCTGGGCTACAAAACCGTGCTTCGAAACTGTCCAACCGTTGCCACTTCCACACCGTGCTGAAATAAGTATCTGGATACGGGTTTCGTGGAAGGTTTTGTGTGATAAAAGGCGAAATATAAAAACAAAAAACAAAACAAACAAAAAAAAAAAACACTTCATATCGAAGCGCAAAATGTCGAATTGAAATAAAATCTACAACTTGCACAGTGACAACTTCAAAGTGTTTAAATATATTCACAATATAATAAAACGATGTGTCATACACAATCTTCGTTAAAAAATATAAATATGACCAATGATAAGAAAAGGGAAATGAAATAAAAATAAAATTGCGAGTCGATTTGGTCGCAAACTGTCGACTGTTGACGCCGTGGCAGCCGATTTGTTTCAAAAACTAATAATGGTCTTTCGAAAAAATCCATTCACAATCCAAAACGTTAAAAATTTAGAAGCATAACTACAAAATGTTGAAAACGAAATCCTGCAAATCATAAAATGCACGAATCGACATATATATATAAAAAAAAAAAAAAAAAAAAAAACTGAAATAAATCTAGAAACATAAGATGGTCATTCTTCAGACGTTGAAATAGCTTCAAATTGCGCTGGGGTAATTGCGAAATTTGCTAAATCTTTGGGAAATATTCTAGAAGCAGACACTACTAATTATTTCAATTCCATACTGGACCAACATAAATAAAAAAAAGAACATAACAAATGCAAAATAGCGGAGCAAATAATACCAAACTGATTCATTATAAAACAATATTGCATGAAAAAAAAAAAAAAAAAAAAAAAAAAACGCTCTGATGGACATCTGTCCAAATACAATTATTAAAACAGAAGCTATTCAAAATACCCACAATACTCTTCCTTATTACTGCTAGTCTTATTTTTATTACCTTGAAAAAAGTATACTAGACATGATTCAATCGAAAGAGAACATAGTGGGGAAGATAAATTATGAAAACAGCGAATCACGTCTAGGAATCAAGCCTAATTACCAAAATTTAATGGGTTAAAACATATAGCAACACTTTATTTTCTATAAATAGTATGTTATCATCAAAATTTAAGGAATAAGACTTACCTACTTTCACGTGAGGCAATAATACAAATATCAAAAGTACAGTATTATAATAACCGTAAATTAATTGCTAGTGGTAGGTAAGGGTGGATCGGCCTATGTGTACACTTGGGCCAGTTTGGTTGCGGAATGGTACGCGCCCAATTAAATGTTTCAACCTAGAAAATATTCCTACCGAAGCGCCACCAATATCTGTGTGAGAAATACTGATGTACAAGTGATGGCTTCCAATTGTATCACTACTTGTTGTCATCCTCTTCATCAGACACTATCAGAAAAATATTGTCATCTGGCTCTTCGCGTGAACTGGGATGGTCTGAAATTTGTCCTTTTGTTTCCCACAAATAGAAAAACATGAATAAAAAATTGAACAAGAATAATCTAAACCCATAATGAACGAAGTGAGAACAGTTTCAGCTATCCAACCCCCAGGTAAGAATACCGTAATGCAGTTAATTACCATGTTCATCCGGAATGATGGCTACCATATCACTGATTTGTCGTTTTTGACGTTGCTGCGGACGAGTTGTCGACGATCGTATCTGCGATCCTTTCCGTTTGTTAAAGCTGGAAATTCTGGAAGCCGAACCACCACGAGTTCCAGGTGAAAGCATGAGTGGTGGTAGCAACTTGCCCACTGAAGAAAGTGGTCTTGGTGGTCCTGCGGGTGCAGGAGCCCTCATTTTATTGATTACAACAGTGTTCTCCGTGACCATCGACATTCGTTGCTTTAACGATGGATCATGATGAAGTCTAATGCCTCCGGTTCTATTGTAGGCAGTAGCAATTAATTCTGTTACAACTTCTACAGGTGTCTGGCTACTTACGGTAGATTGACCAACCACTGCACTGACCATCTGCTGGACACTTCCTGGATTACTCGCTCCCAGGGCACTACGAATATTAGGAGGAGGCTGGGACATATCAGGTGGTGGGCAGTTTAAACCTACTGGTCCTGACATGAGATTTGGCGGTGGTGCAACCATGGAAGATACCATATTCGCGGGTCTCCGTCCCGAGGTCATTCCACTAGCAGCCATTGAAGGAGGAGCAGGGAATGCAGAACCAACGTTTGGTGCTCGAGGAGGTGGTACCGAAAACGACGGTGGAGGGACATTCATTGAGGGTAAACTACTCAGTACAGTACTGTTTGTTAATACTCCTCCCTTCATATGTGACAAACTTCTCTGGAGAGTTGAGTTTGAAGAAGGTCCGGTTCTTGAATCAACAGAACTGATTGGTTCGGTATGACTCAACAAATTAGTAGTGATGGAAGATGTACCAACACTTGTTCGCACAGTCAGTGATGGTGCTAATGGTGGAGGAACCGAGAAATCAGGAGGTGGAACGCTAACTGCTGATGATCCGGAATGTAATGACATTAATGGCTGTGCAGTGACGACAGTAGCATTTCCAGATTGTGGCTGCAAGTTCTGTAATGCCTTGCTGCTTCCAGGTAAAGTATTCAGCGCGCTACTAGTGGAGGCTGAAGAAAGTGGTTGAATGGTGCCAACTGTATGCTCCGAGGGATACATTGGAGTAGCGCCAGTTGGTACTGGTACTGTTTGCGGTGGCACAATATTCGAACTTTGCATCGTGCTCAAAAGAACCGTACTTGATAGTTTGTGCGGTAATATGGATGGACCATTTATAGGAGCTGTGCCAAAAGGTGGAGGCGGTTCGGAGAGATTCGGAAGAGGTACTTGTGAGCTGCTTTGAATCTCGCTCGACTTCAAATGGATAAGATTTTCATGATATGTACCACAATCGGCATCTACTGAGTTTGATAATGTCCTGAAATATTTTTAGGATTAAAGACTAATAAAGTAGCTCTGTCTTAATGTCAAATTGATTCAATGAATTTATTCAATGGGACTAGAGAACAACAGTACTGGGATTGGTTTTGCAGCGTTAAAAACACAAGTAAAATGCTCACTGTATCAAAACAATGGTATCAAAACAAATCCGGTGTCATTTAAACTATCTCAAGTCAATTTCGCTACTTTTAAGTCGAACCATGGAAACATTTTTCTCCAATTCAAGGGTGTTTAATAATTATAATAAATCATAGAAGAAGGAACTGCAGAAGATACCTCAGTGCAACATTTGGGGGAAAATCAGGTACTGGAGAAGGAGGTTTATTCGGATGGATGAAACTAGTCGGACCTTGCGATCCAGAATGCATAAAGCAATGCTGATTTACTGCTCGCATACCACCATCATTTTCTGGAAGTGAATATATAAACTAAATAAAGAGAATTTAGTCATGGCAAAAACTAATCAATTAAAAACGCTCCTACCACTTCAGTACACTCCGTATATATCTCAGTGTCACTGAAATAAACTAATGCAGCATTTATACGGTATTTACCTCCAGATTCTAATTTGCTTAAAGCGTTTGTCTGTACCACAGCATACGTTGAGGTTACTGATTTGTCAGGAGTGTTGTAAATTTGTCGTCCGATGGAATGAGATACCTGATTTGGACTGGTTGTATTACCAAAGCTCATTAGTGGAGCTGGGCCATCACTAAAGCTACCAATCTGAGGTGGTAACTCACTAGTGACCTTCGGAAATAATTCATGAGAAGGTCCAGTTCCAGAAAATCCGGAACTACCACCACTGAAGTCCAAACTTCTGAATAGTGGCTTAGAACCATGATCGCATGCACTCGTTGAAGGAATCATTGAAGAAGACTGATCTAAATGCGTAGGACCAATTAAGCCTGGAAACAGCGGTTTTTTACCATTGACGGAATGTAGTGTCTGCTCCGCACTTGAACCTGCATGAGATGCACGCTCCACGGTAGTAGTTGAATTTGATCCACTATTATTTCTTAACAATGTACTACCGCTCCCCAATCCAGTGTGACTTATGTCTTCGAATACTCCGTGCTCATTCAATCCACCACTATAAATTGCCCCATTCCTAACACCCAATACTCTCTGCTGATCGTTAGAAACACCTCCGACTTCACCGAATCGCATTCGAGCACCTGCGCACCGTTCCTCACTGTGCACACTGACTTCCGGATCATTACCACGGTTTAGCCGTACGCTTGCACTTGTAACCACCCCAGGTGGATCGAAAAGATTTGGTAATCGGAAACGCTGATCTACTTGAAAAACTGTCGTTCCTCCGTTCATTTGTAATACGCCTGTAGATGTTAAAAACAAATAAACAGAAAGGAATCAATAGTTTTTCCTACTTTCTATAGGCTACCATCATTTATGAACTACCTCATACTACGCCAATGGTCCCTCCTATAGATTATTAGTTGTGAAAGGCAAATTAAAGGAGACCAGTTCTAATTATGAGGAGAATTCAAGTGTAAATAGATACTTTCAAATAAGAGAATTGATAAAATACCACTAGAAGATGAACCAGAAGAATGAAAAGTTTGGGGTGGAAGCGGAAGATCCATTCTCAAATGCACCGGAACGCGAATGTATAGTTTTTCAATGTCATCCTTCACCTCCATATATATTTCTCGCAGTGTGCTGTCAAATTGTTTAAAGATATAAATGAAAAATCAACCATTGCTGTTTGATGAACTTAGAAAAATGAAATCTATCCAAAAGGTTAAAGACGGTAGAAATGATTTTAAAATAGATTCCAGGCTTGTGAAACATGAAATATAATTCATAACAAAGGATATAACTCATTATATTTTCAACTACAAGTAATGAATTGCGGTAAAATCAATAATGTTAAGCCACTTACTCATACTGAGTTTGTCGACCTCGTTGCAATCGCTCTTGTTCCTTACTGAGATCACACATTCGTGCTACTAAATTTCTGAGTTCTTTGTCGGACATATTAATAGCCTGGAGTAAATGATTATTTACAAAAAGAAATAAATAGGCAGGGAATCATCCATACAGCAAGAAAATTTACCTCGCTCTCCTGAACACTGATGATTTTTTCGACACGTTGGCGCAACGTATGAGGCTGATCATTAATACGCATTGGTTCCACAAGTTTATTTACTGGCAATGAGGTCATATGGGCAGCTGCAACAGCTTCTCTCAGCGGTTTAGGTCGTTCTTCAACAAGTGTTTGTTGACGCTCCTGCTAAAAAACATTAAAAAACTTATGTTTATTGTTCTTTGCTAATGACAAACTACAAACAGACATTATCTGTCAAACTGTAAAAAATTACAGATAACGACGGAAATTAGATACATGCTCAACACAGAATTACAATAGTAAAGCTGAAAAAACCGATAAATAGTAATACCTCATCATTATGTTCTTCCCAACGTCTTTTTCTTTGCCGCCTCTCTTCATCATTGTCGCGACGCGGCGAATGCTGCAGTTTTGGTGTCCTGAAACTATTAACTTGTATTAAACAAATAGTATTAAAACAAACTTACAGTGGAAATATGTATGACTTACGTGATAGTTTGTCGTTCCCTTCTCTCTTTCTCTCGTCGCTCCACTGACGAACTGCAAAAAATAGCACAACTTTTTTTAAAAAAAGTCTACACAAAGAAATTTATAAGAATATGCTGTCTAAAATTTAAAAAATTTTTTATAAAACTGAATTTCACCAGAAGTAATGAAATGTGTTATGAGAACTGACATACTTGACCAGTATATTAATACTAACCTCCGCACAGGAAGTTTCGATCTGGAACTAAAACTCATATTCTTTAGTTTTTCAAGAGCCGTTTTTTTCGAAACATTAATATCTGTCTTCGCCGATATATTATCCTCTTTGCGACTTGCTTTGCTTGTTTGTTGATCTACTATTTCACCTTCGTCATTTGCCACCTAAAACGAGACCTGATTAATATTGGGTATGATAGAAAAAAATAATACTGTAAACAAATATCAGTAACACAACGCACTGAACCGCTAAATAAAACCTTTTTTTTAACAAACTTACATCACAGTTAGACACATCGCTAACTTCACCATCTTCTTGTTCCATAATTTCTACCTGAAATGGAAACTCCATTAAGTCTGTTTTTGATTACTGCAAAGTACTTCCATGGAAATATTCGGAAGACAAAGTTTTAAAAAAGCAGAACAGCAATGCAATTTCTCAGAAAAATAGTATTTTAGAAAATAACAGCAAACAAACCTTATTCACAGATTCCGCAAGACCTTCTTCTTGTGCCCCAGTCATATAATGGTTGCTAAAAAGATATTTGGCGGAGCCAATTGGGACACGTTGCTACTTACTTTTGCTGATCAACACGACCGTAGTCCTGGAAGACTCCAGCCTTTCGCAATGAGAAAACTTTTCATAACTGAAGCTGGAGAGACATGACTTTGGAAAAAAGGAGTGGAAAGAAACGAACTTATCGAAAAATTGATTACTCGGTCAGATCCTTCGGTAGGATGAATAAAATACTGCAGTAGGAATGTCATCTCTTAATCTGAAATATGCTACTTTTAATCATTTTTAAAATCACAAAATTCGGGTGACTAAAGCAGCAGAATGAGTACATCCCTATTTCGCTAGGCTATACTATTCTCTCTTTTCTCACTCATCTCAGTGTAACAAAAAAAAGGCAAAGGAAAGTTTCTGGGTGTGCTATATACACCACAACATATGGAAGTGTAAAACGAAACTTATTAGTTCAACTAGCACGACACTATATGTTATGTAAACATATTAAACATTAAAATAAAGTAATAAAATAAAGTCTGACCAATATTTAGAAACCAACATGAAAAGTGATTTGTTTCTCGAGATAAATTATCGTCTGTCACAAAAGCACTTCGTGAATTTCAGGAAAAATCGGCAGTGCTTGCGGAAGGTTATGTTTCAAGCCTGAAACAAAGATTTCACGACTTCGATGGACTTCGAAGTCGTGAAATATGTTATGTGATTATCTAAATTAGTCCACAATTTTTCCAACATATGCATAAGAGTCAAAGACACCAGCACATCGTAACTTTAATAGATTTACATACAATTATTGGCACCACTAGCACCATCCGACAAGGACTACATGACCCTTGACCTGCGCAATTTCATTACTCCGAGCATCGACCTTTAACCACGCGACTTGCAGTGATTTCAACGGCCGCGTTGAATAAACTGCACTGAAGAGCAAACACTATAGAAATATACATACATATGCAGGATGGAGAGTGAAGAGATAGGACAAAGATCGATCGGTGGTCGATGGTGCCGGGAGAAGAGTGTAGAAGTGGGAGTAGAGTGGCGGGGAAAGGATGGGTAAGGTGAGAGCGCATAGACAGGTAAGCGAAAGTTGTCTGCTGATGGTGGCTATGTGCTCTTGCTATTGCACTACTGATCGTTCGGGTTTCTAAGGTCACTTAATAGCTGAGATAACTGATAACAATAGCTTGTTACTGGTAGCTCACAGTTGTGCGATAAATTTCAAAGGACAGTGAGAGGGAGAGGTAGGTAGGTAAGTAAATTATCGTGGAATGATCAAAAATCACCTAGCTCTGCTGGGAAACAAAATCAAGGTTATTGGAATCCTGTGAATCATGAAAGCACTTGTTGTGTCGATTGCCATTGGCTTTCGTCCAGCTGCCTCTGAATGCAATTACGGCAATGAAATTTATCAATTTTAGGCTAATTGTTCAAGTCCCTTTTATGCATCAGTGGTTCAGCTTTAGTTGACAATCTCGTCAAACAAGTGGCTATTAGCTAATTAGTAGTCAAACAATGAAATGAATACTAAATGTGAAGCACGACAGTTGACGACAGTCTGCTGTCGTGCCATGTTAACATCAACCGGAAAAACTACACATACCAAACAACATGATTGTTCCAAAGGTGGCAGTCAATGATTAGTAGTGGGAGGCATAAATGTTCGTCAGAGAGAATGATTGCAGGACGAAGGTGCTAAGATTCATGTTCACAAACAATAAATTCTCTCCATCCGGAGTTGGCGCTATGGCTGAGAATGACGATTATCCATCCTCCGAATGAGACGAATATTGCCAACAACGCCTGAAAACATGAACACTACACATAGTTATGGGTAGCTTCATGAAATCCTTGCCATCACGCAAGAAATCCATGACTGACAGCACTCTGAAATGTTTGTGACGATGGTTCCACATATCGCACATTCATTATTGCGAGCGTGCATTGTCAACCATAAATGATAATTAATTTATGGGAGGCAGGAAATGTTTAATACGTCATGATTAATTTTTAGGCTTAGTTAAGTGTATGTTTCTGTGCGGGAGAGCATACCAACCGCTGTTGCTTCTAAAGCAATTTAGATTTAGTTTCAATAGTTTTATTTTCATTTTGTATACTTATAGCTCATAGGTAAGTCATAACATTGCTATGCATAGTAGCACCTTTTAACATCTCATGAAGTTCATGATAATTTCATCAAACAGATTTAATGACATCAGTAGTTGTATCGCATGTATCTTTAGAAACACTTATTTGTTTATTATGCGAAATAAGATTACTAACAAATAAGACTAAAATATTACTCAAAATAAGATTAATAGCATAGTCAAATTAAAATCAACTTTAACAGTCAGTAGATTCATTTTGAAACTCGAAGGACGTGGCCTCTCGTTTTTGTAAATGCAATTATTGGAACCTAAATCGGGAGTAATCCATATCGGAAAAAGTAGCACTTTTTTATTGTTTAAATATTAGCATTATTTTATTGTGGTATTTCTTAATGAATGCTGCATATCACCGACTTGTTTTTGAACTGAGTTTAATTCAAATGATTTGATTAGGAAGATTCGTAGATTGATATGTGGTGTAAATATTAGCGAATTATGGTCAGAATTTTGTGGAATTCAGCAATCTTTATTCATCCGTATCACAGTTGACATGACAAATAAGTCACACATTTACGATGCCAACAAGTCTGTCATGACTCGCTCTAATGAAAGCCATGGATTCGAGATCGCTAGAAAATTCAGTGCGAAATTTACGTTTCATAAGAGTGTAAATCTCAAATCATTTGTGGGGAAACCAAATCTCAGACTGGATCGTTTTTGATAATTGCATTAAACAAATTGGAAAAAATTATTTCTGCTAGAAAGATAAAACGTGAATTAAGAAAAAAAAAAAAAAAAGCATTGTAAATTTGTTGCACAACAATTGTTTCTCACTTTGGAAATTGTAAAAAAGAAAAATACCTAGATTATGCAAATAGACGTGGCATTATATCACCGTTACAATAACAAATATGTAATAGTGCTCTGTTGTTCGTATTGCTACAAACTTGCAACTTAAGACAATAGGGGGTTGAAATTTCAATTGGGCAATTATAAATAGAGAGGTGAAGACTTGTGATTTTAGTAGTAGATTTATTCCAATGTCAAATAACTTATCCAAAGTGATGCATAGTCTACTTAATTATTATTTTTAGAGGTAGACCTTATAAGATAGTATGCCCTGAAATTTCCAGGTATAATTTTTTTTTGCATGCTGCTAAGAACTGATAATTAAATTTAGTTCATTTTGTTTTGAAGTCATAAGAAAGTGATCGAGCAGACAACTGAGCTATTTGATAGTGCAAAAAAGTTGCCTGTTATATTGCTGGTAAATTGTTGACGTGATGGCAAGGACAAATTTTTGAATAAAAACTTGAGATATGGTAAAGAAGATGTATTATTATTAATAGTCATTCGAATCAATTTTTGCCTCCTCTGATTTTTCGTCATTGTCACCTCTTCCTACAAACTGTGCATTAATAGCCGAAGTTGTAATCACAGGTTTTGCTGATCGACTGTATTTCACTCGATCACGCATATTCCTTGCCGCCGTTATCCAACCGAATATTTGCAAATTCTTTCTGAAATTATCATATCTAGTAATTAACAATTTGTTTTAAAAGAGCACAAATGTTATGAAATTATGAATGCATGTTGCACGAAAAAGGAAAATTTTTTGAATGAAGAAAAAAACTTGTAATTAAATATTATATACAAGTTATGTATAGAATTATTGATTTTTTGCCGTTTGGGTTCAAATTTACAAAGTATAATTAAGTGAATATAGTTCAAGAAAGCTTATTTCGTTTGTGGTATGACACCAATTAATTTCCCTAGCATGAAAATTCATGGCTATTATTAATTGCGCTGATATCACCCAGAAAACCTTCTGAAATTTTCAGCTACCCTTTTCAAAACAATAAGAGAAAAACACATGTAAGTGAAATTTTAAGAAAAAAAGAAAAACATAAGTAACAGTTACCTTAAGAATAGTCACTACATGTAACAAGCTTATCATTGATGACCACTTGATGCATCTATTCCGTATAATTATTACCTTATTGCTGCTTCGTAGAACATAATGAACTGTTGACGGAAATTCTGATTGAAGAATGCGTATGAGACAGGATTTAAACATGCGGAACCCATTGCAATCAAATGGCAAATTGCAAATAAGGGCACAGAAAACTCGACAATTCCAAATGTATTAAGTACATGAAAGACGTTTAATGGTAGCCACGCGACGGCAAAAACAATCACAACGCATATAAGCAATAAGTGTGTACGTCGTTGTCGTCCTGCGACCGATCTGTACATTCCTATTTATTTGATTTAAAAAAAAAAAAAGTATTGTGACATATTCATTAACTTCATCAAATTAATTCCTTAGTGTGAAACTGAATTTGCTTACTTTCCCTTCTTAAAAAATATTAGAAGCGATAACTAATAACCTGATTTCAATAAGTCTGCTTATTTCTGGATGCTTAATCGTTATTATGCAACATTACGACGAAAAAGATATATTCCTGAATTCTTCAAGGAAGTCGTAAAAGTGTTATAAATTGATTCGTCAAATTTAGATGAACATGAATAGAGCGAAGTCAAACGGAATAAAGACATTAGAAATGTTTCAACTAGTGCTGAATATGTTATTCTGTTTGGCATGTTACGCAAAAGTTACACGACTATTTACCGCTAAAGTATATACTCCTTTACTTATAAACATCTACAATTATTCCATCGGCTTTAAAGCAATTTTAAAACTTGAATGATTAAACTAATGTCATATCATATTCCAATATTACGAAAAATAACACTTGCCTTATATTTGATATAAATGAATATGAAATCTCACTTTCTCCTTTCGTTATTAATAGCATTGGTGGTGAATGTAGAAGAAGCAAGACGACTGTTCATTCTAATTTGCATTTTCATGGCAATGGTACTATATGCAAAAACAATTGATATCAATGGGAGTGCATATTGTGTTAGCAATACCGCCAAAGTATATGCTCGTTTACTTATAGGCATCTAAAATTATTCCATCGGATGTATATTCTCAAACTACTGAAGTGTTATGATGGCTATTTCATGACAAATCTTATATGTTTCGAGAATTTATTTATGTTCACTTTCCTCATTCTTTCTTCGATTACTTGCAAATTCAAAAGTTGTGTGATAATTAGAGATAAAATTGGCAACAGAACATACCAAATTCCAAATTTCATTCTTCTCGTGGCAGATTTTTAAGGAAATGCCACATTTATCATCATCGAACACTGTATTCAAATCCGATGTTATCAGTAATGGTAATGCTAATGTGATTGAAATGACCCATATCAGGAAAAATAATAATAGAGCCAAATTATGTTGACGTTTTCGTTTTGTTGGAAATATAATTACTACGCAACTTAAAAACAACTTTAATGGTGAACAGCGGTAAGATTTTAGGTTTTTCGAAGAAATTCGGTAACATTTCTATTTACGTCTGGATTATACTGTTGCTACAAATGCAATTGCTTCCCACACCCTCCTTAGGTACCACTGAGCAACTGTTCAAATTTGAAAAAGCTAATTACCGATCAAGAGCAATTGCTGCTATAGAAAAGGTTGATAAAAAAATACCAAAGCCAAGTAAAGAACCGGTTATTTTGCACATTGCTAAGCCAAATGGCCAGAATGTATACAATACCTAGAAAAACGATTTTTCCTTTCATCAATCTAATGTGAATGCAATACTGGAGATTAAAATCTGAAATATAAATTAGGAATTTGCAGGTAAACAGGATGAAATTCATGTAATCTAAATTGTATAAAACTTTTTTTTGGCCTCACATTTCATTTTTCCAGTTATTCCCATTCAAGAACACAACTTTTAACAAGGTGTTGAATTGCGAAAGGAATTAGCTGCTTTTAAGAATGTATTTCGAAATCGAGATGACAAAAACGTTTTTGCAAAAATGAAAGTGAAGATGAGGAGAAAGAAGCAAATTTATTCTCACTGTATAAAAAGTGATTGGTGCTGCGATAGTGCAGATGAAAAAATCTGATAAAGCCAAGTTAAGAATGAAAAAATTTCTTGTTGTCCTGATTTGTGGGTTGTAAAGGACAGCAATAATAGTGAGCATATTTCCAAATGCTCCGAATAATATAACAACTACATAAGCTGCTGTGATGCACCATCCAAGCTGCAAAATAAGGTACTTCCAGATATTCATTTTTCAATCAGTAATGTACTTTTAAGCCACAGAATGCAACAACGTTTTTTTTTTCCTACCGATATGCAATGCCAAAATATTAAATTACATTCAAATTAATGCTAATGCTTGTTGTCTGTATGGTTAGAAATTCTGAAGTGAAGTATGCACACCATTTTTAACTTAAATGACAAGGCAAACCTCACAATAAGCACCGCACCGCGTATGAGATATAGCATTTAAATATTCTCTGGGGGAAGAACGCTTCAGTTCCTACAATTCTAAAATCACAATATCGGACTTCTGAAGTTTCTACAATTTATAAACTTTCATCCTTGACATCTTTACTGTTGTCGGCTTTATTCCTTTTTACCACTACATTGCTGGCAGCGATTTCTCATTCAAGTTTTTTTTTGTCTTAAAAAAAACTCAACTAGCAATATGGCTTCATCAAATTTCAAAGCCAATATTTAGTACATTAGTACATAGTTGAATTTTAAGAATGTAGTTTAGTGGTTATTTTATATATGTAATGTGCTTTGAAGTACATTACATATATAAAATAACAATTAAACTTTGTTCAACTAGCTTAATCTTGAAACGGAACTTCCTGTGAAAATAACGAAAGAGATGCTTTCCACTTCGCTACCGTACAATCAACTTTATTCTACAGCCGCTAGTGATTCATTCGTATGACACCAATTATGTTGTTCGCAATATTCATAAGAATTACTAGAAATAATTGAGAAAATATTTTCATTCCTTAACTATTAGTCATTTCTGGGAAATTTTAGGTGTTGAGCTCAATAAAATACTAAAGTGTCATCAAACTACTAATATGTAACCTTTTCCTATTAACTTTCCTTACTTTAAAACAAAAAATGAATTTTGAAAGCTTTTGTGCTTTGCCTCCTACATGAAAGATCAATTATTATTAAAATGAAGCAGCTTTCCTAAAATACTAAAGCATTTCTTCAACATTTTAGAAAGCCTCAAGTCTGTACTTGATGGTTCTTCATACACACCCATTTATAAAAGAGACCAGCTCAAGACAAAAAGACCTCAATTCGTCGGCACTAGTAATATAACGCTTAACTAACCAATCTCAATTGCAATACTTGTATTTTTGTATCTCCAAACAGCAACTTTGTATAATCAAACACAAATTCACATGCTAATTATAGTTTAAACATTTGATTTTTTATCAACCGGATGAACTCGACATTTTCCATGGCTAATACTTACAGTCCTTCAGATAAATTATCATCTGATCTGATCTAATTGGTAAAAGAATACCAGACTATCAAATATTTTTTGCAAAAATAACTAGTTGAAAAAAAAATCCAAATTTAAAAAAGAATAGAGAGATATTATTACGGATTTGATGGATAAGAAAAAATTACATGTGATATGCCAAAGAGATTTATCTCTCCAAGATAAGGTTTCCTTGAGTAACAGTTTGCAAAAGGTCTGCATAAAAGACCGATAACATAACAGCGTCTAGGTGTAAAAAAATCGTTTATTTAGATATTTAGATATGCCGATAATACCTGAGCGGAAGCATGGTTTGTACCCTCAAGAACCA